TTAAAAATATTCAGATGAATAGCCTCATACTGAGTTGACCTCTGGGTCAGCTAAGTCTAGGGTATACCCAAAGGAGTATGATCTAAAGCACCACTGGTATTTCGATGGGTAACGTGTCTAACATCATTTTTAAGAAATTGCACAATTTCAGTAGATAGGTAAACGCAAGAAACATGCTAACAATTATAGATTTAATGTCATACTATTAAATATAACACACAACCTCCTTATAAATCATGCAAATATAAAAATATGAAAAAAAGTATACATAAAATGAATAAAGATGTAATGAAAATCGCAATAATGTTGTTAGACTTTGCCAGGACACGTAATCATGTTTAAATTCCATTTCATAAAATAAATGTCAAAACAATAGCCATACATGTATTATGAAAATATCACTGAGACTTTCAACTATTTTGCTGCAGTACTGCTTACGCACGACAAGTGAAACTGGAGTAAATTCAAGCAATATAAAATGATATACAAATCTTACTTTCAACCCAGGCCGCCATGATCCACTGACAACCTGCAAACGTTCAAATCAAAATTAAGTAGACTTTGTTTACGCCAATATGGCAATTACTAATGCCTTTCATATTAACTAATTTTACTTTTTCGCAAATGATTATGAAACCGTTCACATTTACACAGATTACAACAATAGATTATATAAGCATTTATGAATGCAAAAGACCGAAAACGTATTCAACGTGACCAAAGAAAATGGTTAATTCACCTTAGACTTAACTATATCATATTCTTTATGATTTTCCTTAACATATTACATAATAGCTGCATGACAATAATAATTACATCTCATTACTTTCACCAGGTGGAGGTATTTTGTTTCAATGGCTATGATTCGGTGCCTGGAGAAGATCTTCTTGGATGTGCTTTGGACCAGATTGTTGTTCATGTAAACGGCGACCAAACGGTGAGTCCGACGGAGGAACCAACAACACCAGGGACAGAAGCTCCAACTGAAGTCACAACAGAGGCGGTGACTGATACACCAACAGAACCTGAAACTGAAGGACCAACTGAAGGACCAACCGAAGGCCCAACAGAACCTGAGACTGATGCTCCTACCGAAGGCCCAACCGAAGGACCAACTGAAGGACCAACAGAACCAGAGACTGAAGGACCAACTGATGGCCCAACAGAACCAGAGACTGATGCTCCTACTGAAGGCCCAACCGAAGGCCCAACAGAACCTGAGACTGAAGGACCAACTGACGGCCCAACCGAAGGACCAACTTGAACCAACTTGGACCAACCGAACCCAACGAAGGCCAACCGAAGGACCAACCGAAGGCCCAACCGAAGGCCCAACAGAACCAGAGACTGAAGGACCAACTGAAGGACCAACCGATGGCCCAACAGAACCAGAGACTGATGCTCCTACCGAAGGCCCAACCGAAGGACCAACTGAAGGCCCAACCGAAGGACCAACTGAAGGCCCAACCGAAGGACCAACTGAAGGCCCGACAGAACCAGAGACTGATGCTCCTACCGAAGGCCCAACCGAAGGACCAACCGAAGGACCAACCGAAGGCCCAACCGAAGGCCGAAGGACCGAACCCAACCGAAGGCCAACCGAAGGACCAACCCGACGAAGAACCGAAGACCAAAAACTGAAGGCCCGACAGAACCTGAGACTGAAGGCCCAACTGAGGGCCCAACAGAACCAGAAACAGATGCCCCAACTGAAGAGCCAACAAATCAGCCGAGCACAACAGAGACCCCAGGCGGCCCTCTCGTCTACACTTTCAACGACGGCGCTGCTGGCTGGACCCTCAGTCACATGAACGGAGCCACGTGGGTCCACAAGGAGTTCGACAGCAACGGGCGCCCTGTGAATGATCCCCCTAATGGCCCGTGGGTTTTGGAAATCCAACCTGACGAGGTCCTGGCAGGTATGTTTACTTCTTATCATTGAGTTGATATCATGCCATTTTCACCCTTTTAACCTGATCAGAAAGCTCAGGTCATTCTGAGCTCCTTAATTCGTAATTCCATAATATATTAGAACCTCATTTCAGTTTCACATAAAGTGTGTGTGTGTGTGTGTGTGTGTGTGTATGTGTGTGTGTGTGTGTGTGTGTGTGGTGTGTGTATATATATATATATATATATATATATATATATATATATATATATATAGATAGATAAATAGATAGATAGATAGATAGATAATAGTCTTTAGCTATGACCAGGAAATTTTTATAACCCAGTAAGGAAGCTAGATTTGATAATTATTTTTATAGCATTACATTTATATATCACGATAGACAATAGTAATGAGAGCAAAGGTAACTTGACATTAAAGCATATTCACTGTAAAATTGTAAAAGAAGAAATCAAACTGGTGGTGATATTAAGCTTATATAGAAATGATAGTTTATTTAGTCAAACTAATGAATACAACATACAGTAAATGTTGGTTAGCAATAACATAAGCCTATAGGAAGGATACATAACCTAGCCCATCCTAACC